CTACTTATGGTGAGCTGCCTGTGGCAAGTTGCCTATGGTGAGCTGCTTATGGCGAGCTGCCTATGGCGAGCTGCTTATGGCGAGCTGCCTATGGCGAGTTGCCTATGGCGAGCTGCTTATGGCGAGCTACCTATTTGTCAAGAGGCTACATTTAGTTGGCATGAGGTGCCAGGTGTCACAATTTCACTGGAGGGCCAAATCTGCCCTCATCTATTCTCATATACAAAGCCATGATTTCATCTCAATTCGAGTGTAGAATAATTCCCATATATCCACCACAAGTGGTTTATTTCTCCCACTTTCATAATGCTACCCATGGAACACCTCTCTCTCTCTCTCTCTCTCTCTCTCTCCCCCACCAAGCAAACAAACAAACAAACCTTCTCACAACCACAACTGATAAATGATGATTGGTTCATCTCCATATATACACTGGAAGACAGAAAATTCTGTACTTAACTCATCAAAAGTAGAACAGCATTTTATTGTATCGTACACTCACAATCACCACCCACATCTACCGTTACCAAAATCAGGAGCAGCTCTTACTCTATTTTACAGCTGTGTTGATGCAAATTCTAAGGTTTCTGAGTGGTTCCAGCTATCTTTCTAGGTCTTCCCCAAACGGTGGCACTTTTGCTTCAACAATTGTTGCTGCCTTGGATGGTGGAACCGTATTTATGAGAAAAAAGGAGCGCTCAGGACTATTATCAATGAAGTGAATTAAGATGGCGTTCAGTGTCCATTTAACAAGAAAGCTGGAGAATGTTTACTTGATTAGACTGCAGGTGCGAGAGTGGCTAAGAGTCTGGTTTGAGTAGAAGTCGGCACTAACGTTGGGATTATTAGAGGAGGTGGGGAGGTGCTGTTACTCGTAACAGTAAAAATAATCTCGAATTGCATGGGCGTGCCGGCAGAGTAAGATGATGATGCAATGACGTAGGATGTCGAACCGCCCGCGTCCTCTGTTGCTTCCCCATCGTCATGCACCGCCTTAACAATTTCCTCGAAGCCTTGTCGATGCTGTTGCAGCTAGAGGAAAAACTCGAGCTTTGGAGATCGCCCATCACGATGTCTACAACTGAGCTAAGGATGGAGTACTGGTTCTGGATCGGCCAATGGATTGCTCTCTGCTCACTTTTTTGTACAACAATTGTTCTTTACTACTGGCTTTTAAAATAACAAGCGAAGGGACGACTTGGCGAATCATGAATACGTGGTTTTCCGTTTCGAATCAAGAGTCTGGGACTGGTAGGAGTATGAGTATGATAGAAGGAGGCAACAGACTTAAATGGACCAGAGCAGGGACTGAGGAGGGCTTCCGGCGCAACCCAGGAGCCCACGGTGCTTGGTGCTGAGAAAGTTAGGTTTTTCGTTGCCGGAGATCTTTCAATAGATTTGTTCCTTTCTCCGTGACGATTAAAGGTATTTTTAGGTCAATTAAGTTTTGAGAGGGAATAGCAAAAAAAAAAAAAGAAAATAGAAAAAATTTAATAAGGTATTTTGATAATTTAATGCCTT